CTGGAGTGGCTCTGGAGTGAGCCCAACCCAAGCTGGAGTGGGTTGCAGAGTTGCTTAACCCAACCCAACCCAACCCAACCCATTAACAACTCTAACGATGAGAACTTAAAAGTTTCATTTTCTGGTTTTTACTCTGCAGCACCTGAATAGTAAAGTGCAGATTATACATCTTTAAGCCTATGCAAACTTCTCATTACTAACAACTAAAGTCAAAGTAGCATCATTCAGATATAAACAAATCCTTAATATATAACCTTAGAAAACAGCACTAGATATTCTTTAAATTTTTCATTGAGCTATCAACTAGTTTAAGTATGCTTAATAAAACTTTGATTTTGAATAGAGTACAATCTGCTTAACTGAAATAATATAAGTTAAAACAGTTAACATGATTGATTTAATTAATACATAAAAAAGTATTTAATATTTATATATTCATAATTAACAGTTTAAATTTTCAAATAAATTCATATGACATATATAATAAAAGAACTTCAAAATTTATATTTGATTAGATGATAGCTTTCAAATTATTCTTTTTGTAAAGATTTATTTGGAGAAAGAAAATATATAATGTTTGGTAAATTATATTACATTCACAATTATCAAATTATGCCTCTTAAATCAATTTAATTGCAACAATTTAATGATCATAAATACCTATTTCATTTACGAAAGTTTGATAGACAAATATAAAGAACATTTCATGTTCAAATTAGCATTTTGTGTTTTCAACTAAAAATGATATCTTTTAACAAATTTGATGATTTAGTTAGTATACAACTATAAAGAAAACCTAATATCTAAATAATAGCTAACTAGTTATAACTACCAACAGGTTAAACAATTTTCTTATTTACAATAATGATTTGGCTTCAATAATTGATTGTCTAAAAAAAAGTGAATAAATAATGCAAATGCCAAGGTTAAATAAGTCTTCAGGCTTTTAATTATATAATATAATAGACAAAGCTCTTGAAAATGATACATATATGATATATCATTGAAGTTCAATTATGTATTATAAATATTATACTCACTAATTAAAAATTTCAGGGGCTTTGTCCATTATGTTATATGATTGAAAGCCTAAAATCTTATTTTACCTTGGTAACATTTATAAACTAACAAAAATCTTGCACAATATCAAAAAAAAACTCATTCTCAAAGTAATACTCTGTCAAGTTAAAGCTACTAGTATAATATTTGTATAATGCTATGAATAGATTTTCATGATTCTTTATTAATTAATGCTGCATTACATTACAAAATTTGATATATAAAAATGTGAACTATACACATAAAATAGAACAAATCTCTCTAATCAATGTTGTTAATAAAGTTTAGTTTAAATAAGGGAAGAGACAGTTATAAACCATGCTTAACTGTAAAACTAAACTCTTATATTTTTCTTTCTGATAAAAATCAAATTAAACTTACCAATTTACTGAATAATAACACACCTGGAATAGTCAAATTACAATGGGATCTATTAAATAAAGAACATGTTATGAGTTGAGACCAATTTCTTTATGAAAATGGTCTTAACATAAAGTTTGATGATATTTGATGTAAATGGTCTATCCGGTATTCAACTCCAACAATGGTTATTAAACAATGCATGTGTGGAAGTTATCGAGAAAAAAATAATATACCTAATTTCCATGTCTCTGCTACACATTTTCCCTATGTGGGATGCCTTGCTTTTGTTAATATTTCCCTTCGTAATAATAAGATTTGTGCTATTTCAGGATATATAAACCACTCAGAACAATGTAAAACATCTCAACTACAACACGACTCACTATATAAGCTTCTATTATATATTAAAAAAAATGTTGAAACTCTATTGAATCTAAATGTAAGCACTGCAGATATTCTTGCTCAAAATGCCAAAATGGTAAAAAATATATTTGAAAAACAGACCTTAATTGGAAATTTAAGAACATTACTTACTGCAATGGATATTACAAATATTAAAAGGCAAATGCTTCAAAAAAATTGGTGTATAAAATTAAAAATGATCCTGCAAAAAATTTAGAGCAGTTTCTTGAACCAGACACGAATCCATCAGAACTTAAAAAAGTATGTCTACATTACCAACCCTATACAAAAGAAACTGGCCATCTAGAAATTATTATTAGTACTTATAAGCAACAGGAGTTTGTGTGGAAGTATAGACATCAGAATCTTATCCTTATAGATGGAACATTTGGAATTAGCAAAAATAAACTTCTCTTATTCATTATCATAGTTATTGATAAAAATAACAAAGACATCTCTATTCATTCATTATCTTTACACTATCTCTACAAAATCTACTAACATTATCTGGCTATGATAGCAGTATTTTGAAACAGCTTCTTATAATCTTTCATGATAGAATTAGTACAATTTACAATTAAAACCTCCTTACAGAAAACCCAAATACTACTGCAATTACATTTAGTTCTCTTGTTGCAATGATTGATACAGATGTTAAAGAACAAAAATCATTGTTAAGAGTATGGCCAAATATAACTTTGCTTCTGTGTTACTTTCACATTAGCCAATGCTGAAAAAATAAAATAAACAAGCAATTGGGACGAAGAGGTAGAAATGATATAATTTTACAATGCCAAACCTTGAAAATGTATTTACGAAATGTATTAAAGGAAGCTTGGACAATAGATGGTAATGAGAATGTAGTATGCAGGTTTATTAAAGAAAAAAAAAATTCGTTAGAAACTATTATATATAAGTCAGAAGACTTTTCAAATGATACAAAAAAATTTTGGATAGTGGAGCAAGATTCTTTACTTATCTAGAAAAGCAGTGAACTGGAAAACTTTTACATAGTTGGTGTCTTAATAGTTGAAAAAAGGCCACAAAATTACTTGGAATTTCTTTCAAAAAGCTTCCTACTACAAATAACCATCTTGAAGAATTAAATGAATACCTAAAAAATAATCAAATAAGTCGATTTTAAAAAAATAATCATCTTCTCAGAGCAGATGTACTTTACACTGTTTTTGTAAATGAAATCATACCTAACATATTGTCTTTGCAAAATCTTGTTAAAAATCTTGAGCAAGAAAAAGTAAAATGACGAAAAGAATTCAACATTATGAACCCATTAGATTATAAAGTTCTTAAGCAAGAGTTTTTCTAAGTGGCTTACCTGGCTTTAAGTCCAAAACATGATGAATCAGCAAAGAAATTGCTTTAAACCAAAAAAGTAATCAAGCATGAAATAGAACAAATAATAGGAAAAATTTTTGTTCAAGTTGAATCTGAAACTACACCACACCTTGTCAATACTACCTGTGTATATAGTTAGTCTACAGATATTTGTTGCCAATGTATTGATTTTCTTCAAAGAGAAATTATGTATAAGCATCTGTGTGCTGCAACTCTTTATATAGATGAACTTCATCAATTAGAACAACATGCACATCTATCTAAATTGACTTTTGCAACTTATTAAGAAGCACAAAGTATTAGTCATAACCTATGTACAAACCAACAAGAAATACCAATAAGTTATACGAATAATAGTAATATTAGTAACAATGATAATAGTGATAAAAGTGATACTGATAATGAAAATGAAGATACTGATAATGAATGTAATAATCAAGTTTATGATACAAATAATTTTACATTCACCATATCTAAAAAAACTCTAAATTAAATGAAGCACATTCTTGATATACAACACACTTCAATGACAATATCATCTGCAAGCTCACCTTCACAAACCTAATTCAGATCCAACATGTCCAATATTGACAGTTTAAATGCCTATGCTATTTATAAACAGGAATTTCAAGACTTTCTAATATTGACTTCAAGAAGTTTGCAAGCACTGCAAGAAAATTTAAAAGTTTTGGAACATTTGAGTTAGTTTAAACAGCCATTAATACAAGAAGTTTCAGAACAAATAAGTACTAATAATCAATGTATTTTATTAAATCACCTTTATAATATCATTAGGGAAGGGACAGAAATCAGATGATTTCTATTTACTAAGAGGCTATACCTCCTACCCCCCATCTGATTGAAATATTAGCAAACTAAATTTAATTATAACAATATATGACCTGATTGAATTATAAACCCCCACCCCCCTAAAAAATCAGCTGATTTCTGTCCCTTCCCTTACCTTAGAATTCTTTAGAAATGCATAACAATTGGTGAACATCATGCATGAGAATGTAAATTCTCAAAAGCACAAAGCTCACATTACTAGCCTTTTTTCACTTGAACAAGAAATGAAAAGATGTCAGCACCCAACTTACAAAAGCTATTAAAAAGACAAAACATATAATAAAAAAGATAAATAATAAAAAAGATAAAATGATAAGGAAATAAAATATACAGCTTAAATCAAAAAACATGAACTATGTTAGTAACTATACATAAAAGCATGTAAGGAGACTAGCCTTATTTATTATACATATGCAGAATATTACCCAAACTTTGAAATGTGTAACTATTGCATGATTTTAGAATTTTAATATACTATGATTTGTATATACATATGTACATATTTATCGAGATAACTCAAGGCATTATTTCGAGATTTACAATTTAGAGAGCTAAGAATTAATTTAATCAAAAATTTTTAATAAATTAATTCTTAGTTTTCTTTAAATAGTGCATCTGAAATAATACTTCTGAGCATGATTTTGAGATAATACTATAATATAATAACTGTAATATTATTTTAATTTGCAGTATATAGTCAACTCTTTTTATAATGAACTGACAGTTCTGAAAGAAAAAAAAGTTCATTATAGAAAGTTATTATATTTTCTTAAGAAAAATTGCATTTTCTATACTAAACTATTAAAAATTTCAAAATTTTAAGTTTACTATATCCAGAATTCGTTATATAGAGGTTCATTATATCCAGAGTCTGCTATATACATATTTTATTGAATTTTTATTAATTTTAAATAAATTTTTATTGGTTAATTTTGTAAATCTTAGTTAATTTCC